ACATCTATCGCATAGTCTAAAAAGGAATATCTTAATTTAGGAATGATTTGTCTTTATTTTGCACTTCTTTCTCCTAACTCTACTGGTTCTAATTAATTAACTGTCACACACTTTCTTGCAATTAGTTAGTTAATTGTTGCACTCTTGATATCAGTTAACTAATTGTTGCTTTGTATTAGTTAATCAATTGTTACTTTGTATTAGTTAGTCAATTGTTATTTTTTTTATCTCATCATATCTATTTATTTATCTATAACTCTTCTCTTTTTGCTTATTATAATGTTATTCCTGTAATTCACTGCTATAAACTATTCCAGACTTATAACAGTTGTAATTCTAATTTTAAACTTTATACTTACTAAGTCTATTCCTGATTAAAGCTCTGATTAGACATGATATGCGAAAATCGCATTTGCAACCTAATCAGCTTAACTTTTATCCTTAACAATATACTTCATAACAGTTTCCAAGCTGGTTAAGTTTATAGAGTCAAAGATTTTTGAGATATCAAAGGAAGCAATCCAGTGTTCTTTATTAAGGTTATTGGCAGTTTCCAGTTCAAAGAATATTATAGCCAATGGCTCCATAATGCTTTGAATTTTGAAGCCTACAAATGAGTTGCTTGAGAAAATTTTGTTTTTACAGATAATATCGACATTCTGTTGTTGATTATTTTTGTAAAGATTTTCCTGCTGTTTTCAATCAGGAATATTGATCTTATATCTGTAAGTTCATGGGACCAAACAATTTTTTTGAACAGTAATATGACCATGGAGTATTTCTAATAGATAGGAGGACTACTAGAGCTTAAAACTAAATTAAAAAGATTTTGATGATATTTCTTGCAGTTGGGCCTATATTGATCCAAGCTTCATATGGAATTAGAGTTAGGCCAGAAGATTTTTGCTTCAGAAGATTAAATAGGACTTTTTTAATTTCTTTGAGAGTAATTTTGATAGTTATTTTATTGAATATATTGTTGTAAAGAGCTGTCTTAGGTATGTATTCTTGACTTTAGTCTTAATCAAGAATAAAAGGTTTTGGTTTGAGAATATTATTAAAGTAATTGGTTATGATTTTGATAAGCTTATCTGGATCATCATATAATTCATTGCCATTTGAGAGAATTGAAAGATCTAAGGATGGTTTGAGATCTTCCAAGACTTTTTTTATTGCTGCTTTAGATTTTTTCCATAATTTGTAATAGTTTTTTTCTATTCGGTCTCTGATTTCTTTCATAATCAATTTTCTGACCTTTGACATTTTTTCTTAAAAAGTATTTTGAAGACTTTTCTTAAGGTTTTGATGGTAATTAGATCATCAGTAATTTTGCTGAAGACTGTTGTTACTAGATGTGACAGTTTGTTAATTGGTTTATTTTTCTAGAGATTGACTATTGTTGTTTTTGTTGCTTTAATAGCATTGTAATATTGAGGAAAGGCTTTTTCTAGTGAAGTTGGTGTTGTTTATTTTTTGGATAATATGTTATCTTCATAGCATTTTTTATTATTAGATTGACTTCTTTCTAAGATAAAGTATTGATGTCTAAACAGGCAAGTTCAATAGACCCCTGTATTGATTTTATTTGTTTATTTGTGATTTTATTGAACTGGAAGGTTTTGGTAATAAAAAAAACTTGACCAGGCTTATATTCAAACCAATCCAAAATTATTGTAATCATTTTGTAATCTGAAGGAATGAATGTTTGGTTAATTACTTTATAATTTAAGACTTTGCTAATAAGATTTGTTGATATCCAGGTTTGATCTATTCTGAAGATATTGATACTTGTAATGTGTATATAAGTGTGCTTTTTGTTGATGACTTTGCCTATATTTACTAAGTTTGCAAATAACCTATATATGCATTGTTTGTGATATAGTGTTTGGACATTAACTAAAGGTAATCCTTTTGAGTAGGAGTTAAAGTCTTTTATCATTATTAAGTATTTGGTACGATTCAGCTTCATAAATTTTTTAAGTAAATGAGTGGCAGAGATTCTGTTCGTTTTGTTATGAGGCAAGTATAAGAAGATAATTAAAATATTGGCTTTAGATTTAAATTTTAGGTGAGCTGCACACAAGTATTCGTTTTCAGTATAAGTATAAAAAATATGACTTGAAATTTCTTTCATAAAGATCATACACATGCCACTACTTGCTGAAAGGTTTGGTTTGCTTGCTATGATAATTAAATCATAAATTCTATTTAATAGTGGATTATTTACTGTAGCTTTTGTTTCTGTACAATAGAAAATTGTCCTTTCATTTTGATGGATTTGATGATTTTGTTAAGTTTTCCTAGTTAATTAGGCCTCTTACATTGAGTGTAGATATTTTTACTAAAAATTTTTGAATTTTTATTAACTTTAATTATATTCTATCATATATTATCATAATTTATTATTATTTCTTAGTTTTACATATATTTTTATATTAGCAAAGTAATATTTCTCTCAAGAATTCTCAAAACACCTATATAGTTTCGAACGGCGCAGCTAATTCGGAGCGTCGTAGCTCAAAACCCAACTTGTAAGGCTTCTTTGTGGTTCTAAGTAACTATTTGCAGAAAGACCAGAGAAACATTTTCTATTAAGAGCACGAAAACGATTAACATAGTAGAATTTTAAGTAATTTCGATTCTTGTCTTATGGATAAGAATTTTCTTTGCAGATCGCCCAAGTGTAACAAAAATAATTCTTTAACCATTCTTTGTATAAAATAGACGATCCACACATAAATATTTACAGTAGAGCGATTCACAATTGACCAAAACATTATAAAAAGGTTGCATTTTCCTTCAGCCTTGAAGAGAGAACAACTTGGACCATAGTTTAGAAACATTGAATTCTTATATTATTTTGTAATGTTCTTATAATTTTCTCTAATAAAATTATTATTTTATCATATTTTGTTCTCATATTTTTATTTCTTTTCTTTTGAAATTCATTTTTTTGTATATTGCTATCTTTTGATTCCAATATCAGGGCAGAGTTGAAAATCTGACTAAAACAATAATATTTAATTGTTCATGTTAATTTATTTGATAGTGTTTGAAACAAAACATATACTGGTCATCACACGCCATCTGAAGATTTGATCGTCCGAAGCTCTGTGTAACATAAAAACCAAAATTCCCAAATTACTAATAAAATACTAATAAATTTTGATTTGATCATCCGAAGGTTACACCCTGCACTTACCGCGGAAACTCACTATGTATAAAAAAAAAATTGACAATTTTTTTTTTTAAAAAAACATCATTTTTTTTCTATACATAACTCCGGAGCTTCTAGTACTACAATAAAATGCTGCGGCATTATTAAATAGTATTTTATTATAAACATTGGCCTACTTGGTGACGTAATTAACAATGTATTTCTCTTCTTTTCGCCTATAGAGTAGCAAAAAGAAGTAAGCTTTGTTCATAGCTAGAGAGTGTATATAGCGACATGGCAGTGTGTATAGTGACATGGCGATATGACAGTACTACAATAAAATGCTGCGGCATTATTAAATAGTATTTTATTATAAATATTGGCTTACTTGGTGACATAATTAATAATGTATTTCTCTTCTTTTTGCCTATAGAGTAGCAAAAAAAAGTAAGCTTTGTTTATAGCTAGAGAAGTGTGTATAGTGACATGGCAGTGTGTATGGCGACATGGCAGTGTGTATGGCGACATGACAGTGTGTATAGCAACATAGCAGTATATATAGCGAAGCAACATGACAGTGTGTATGGCGACATGACAGTATATAGTAAAGTGACATGGCAATGTGTATAGCGAAGTGACATGGCAGTGTGTATAATGACATAACAGTGTGTATAGCGAAGCGACATGGCAGCATGCATAACGACATGGCGATATAACAGTATGTATAGCAATGTAACATGACAGTGTGTATAGCAACATGATAGCATATATAGCGACATTGCAGTGTGTATGGCGATATGATAGTGTGTATAGCGACATAGAAGTATATATAGTGAAGCAACATGGCAGTATGTATGGCGACATGACAATGTATAGTAAAGTGACATGGCAGTATGTATATTGAAGCGACATGGAAGTGTGTATAATGACATAACAGTGTGTAAAGCGAAGCGACATAGTAGTGTGTATAGCGATATGGCGATATGACAGTATATATAGCAATGCGACATGATAGCATACTGTTAGCATGTGAAAATGTAGTATAGTCAGTACTTTTAGGCACGAATAGTAAAATAGAGTATGAGGGCCCGGGGTACGGCGCACGACACCTGATGCATCACTTTATGCATTAGTGGGTCTGCAGGACGCGTCGCAGGTGAGGAAGACACGTCGCCTCTCATATAAATAGCCATAGAATTACATGCAATAGAAATGTATCTTCCTAATAAAAGATAAGAATCGCTTAATCAATAAACCCAACTTGCTATACCTTGAGATACATAATTAATAAACTTGCCTTAGTTAGTTATTCGCCATTGAAAGAATCCTAGAAGCCCACATAGAATTGTGGTAGAGGATTAGGCCGGCAATACAGGAGAAGGAAGCTTATTAATACGTACCTTTGGTGTGCAAACGATACAAGACCCCTACTCCTTATCGTTACGCGAGCCTTAGCTTCGGATTAGTGACAGACTCGCCGTAGCCGATAACAATACATAGCAACATGGCAGTGTGTATAGTAAAGCAACATGACAGTATATATACCAAAGTGACATGACAGTATATAGTGAAGCGACATGGCAGCAGTGTGTATAGCGACATGGAAATATATTAACATATCTGGAAAACATATTTAACAATATAATGATGATACACTTAGCAATAGTAATATACTTAACGATATATTATATTTAACAACATATAGAAATGCTAGGTAATAATTTATATATATCTAATATGTTTAACCTATATCTTACTATATACTTAATACAATATCAATACTAATTTAATGTTATTTAATCAGATATGAATGTAAAAAGAAATATAAAATATTAAGAAAATACTATTCCGATTGAAATTTTTTGGTTTTTTTATATAAGTTTCTAATTGAATTAATATCGGTCTTTGCTACTTTAAAATTTTCAGGTGGATGTTCAAGAAAAAGCAAAATATCATCAAGTGATTTTATTACTTCTTGGGTTGAGGGAATTTGGATTGAAAGGGTTTCATTTTCAATTTCTTGAGTTACAAGAGCTTGAGTTAAAGAGATTTCTTCAATTTCTTCTTCAATTGATGGTGAAATTTCTCTTACTACCCTATGTATCATTTCATCATCTAAAAATTCTTCGATAGAAATTCTTTTATCTTCATTAATATATTCTAAATAAAATTAATAAATATTTGTAAATATATTATATATTCTTCAGTAAATAAAAAATATAAATTACAAACCATCAGCAGACATTGGATTAGTAAAACCCAATTGATTAATTAATCCTTGAATGTTTTCTAAATCTTTTTCTTGTTCATTTAAATATTCTTGTCTTGCCATTTGAATTTCATTTTCATTTTCATTTAAAGTAGTAGTGATATTATTCTGAATTGTAGTAATAGTACCATATTGATTAATAGTAATAATATCATTCTGAATAGTAGTAGTAAAATTTTCTAAATTAGTAGTTGTACTGCTTTTTTGAAGAGTAGTATTGGTTCCTTCTTGATTAGTTATATGAGAAGTGGTAGTAAGCAAATTTTCTTGATTAATAATAGGTGTGCTTTCTCTACTACTAATAGTACTAGTAATAGTAGGTATACTTTCTCTAGTATTATTTTCTTGAAAAGAAATAGGAATACCTTCAAAAGAAAAATATGGCAAAATACCAGTCGATTTTCAACAATTTCTGATAGTTTTTTTTGTTACCTTATCCCATGCTTCTGCTGTAATATCAATTGCATCCTTAATAGTAAAAGGATTAAGAGAATTTGTTATATTTCCAAGAGCATCATAAGCATTAATTCTATTATCTACAAAAAGCCTACGATAATGAGCCTTAAAACTATGAATAATTCCTGCATCACATGGTTGAAGATAAGTAGTTGTATTTGGTGGTAAATAATGAATTACAATATTTTCAAGCTTTGTATCTTCTGTAAGTTTATGAACAGGTGCATTATCAATTAGTAAAAGGATATTGCGACCTTGTTGTTTCATTTCAGTATCAAGTTGTAATAACCATCTATTCCAAATTGAAACTTGCATCCATGCAGTTGAATTCCATTCATATTGAACAGGAAGTTCTGATTTTGAAATACGACGAAGAGCTCTTGGATTTTTTGATTTATTAATAAATATTGGTGTAATTTTTTCAGTTCCAGATGCATTTGCTCCAAGTAATAAAGTAATTCTTTCTTTTGATTTTTTATGACCTTTTACAGGATGAGTTGTTAATGTTTTGCTTGGCTCCAGTTTCCAAAAAAGACCAGTTTCATCTACATTGAAAATATTTTCTAATCTGTAACTACCATTAACAATAACTTCTTGAAGTTTCTTTCTTTCTTCTGGGAGAGTTTCAATTGGGGCACTTGCACCTTCTCCTGTTTTTGTATATCTTCGGATATTGTGCCGTTCTTTAAAATTTGATATCCAACCTAAAGATCCTTTAAAATTTTCAATTTTAAGTGTCTCAGCAAACTGAATAGCTTTTCTTTGTAAAATTTTATCATTAAGATCCATTTCTGCTCCAATAGCACCTTGTGTCCAAAGCCATAAAGCTTCTTCTAATAATGGCCATTTGCCACTTTGTTTAATTTTAGTTGGAGTTAAAACAAGCCACTTATCTTTTTGTTGAAGAATATCATGAATAGTAGATTCTCCAACAGAATATTCTAATGCCAATTCTTTATTTGAAGGTGTAGAAATAGTTTGTTTTTTAATACAAATGTCATATTTTTGACTTGGAGTAAGAATTTTTTTTGATCTTTTGCTAATTTGTGACATAGTGTAAAAAAGATTCAAAAATATGAATTACAGTACAGTACAAAAAAAATTATCGGTGTTTTATGCATAAAAGTTGCACAATGGTAATACAGTATATCAAAATCAAACAAGCAACATTTATTATTTGACCGATTTATTCCCATGTTACTCTGACACTATTTTTCTGGGATTGTATATTAAGTAATTTCAATAGTTGAAATAATTCTTGGACTTTTCGATCATTCAAATGATTTTTTGATTTCACGAGATCATGATGTTTTTTTTATCTCGATCAGAATTAAAAATAAATATATCCGATTCCTTGAAAAGAGATGCGTAGGTAAATTAAGTTGCAATGATTCTTCCGATTGTATATTATGTGGCGCTAATTAAAGTATGGCAGAAAGTTAAGCAAGTACTGATTAATTAATTGTGTGTGCGATGTAATTTACATAATTCTTTTCAAAATGATTTTTATATTTGTAGTAACTGACCTTTTGCAAGAATGCATATATACTTGAAATTGTTGAGATCCTTTGAGTGAATCGTGAGGTTGGTGAAAAGAAACATTTCGTGCTCTTTATTGATAAATGCTATATTTTACACATTCTAAAGGCAAATGTGTTCATATTAAAATCACATGAAACTGACACACACAATGAGCGTGTCTATTCAAACAAACATATAATTTAGAGTCGCATGTATTATTCGAATTCCTGAAAATTCTGTTACCTCTTCGCATTTATTCAAAAATCACTATTTCTGTGCTTATTACATGTGTAATAACATCTTTTCTTGTGATATGTATTATGTTTAGATATGAACCAGATATTTGCAAGGTTTGATCTTGGGTGATGTGTGTTTGGGAAACACCAAATTTAAGACGCCAAATCGATTTTATAGAATGCAGGTCACGAATTTTATTGACGAGTTCGATATCCTTAAAACATTGAGATGTTACTTTTACAAAAAATGCAGATTTTTTTCTGATTCGATGCGGTGTCTTAAAAAAGCTTTAACCTATATTTCCGATACAAAATTATAATATATTCTTTTAAACAGAACATGCGAAGTTCTTACTGTACCGTGCAAATGATTCTTTCATTTTTGTTTATTTTTTTTATTTCGATCTTTTCAGAATATATAGGCAGCGAAACAAAGCAAGAATATATGAACTGAATGCCATTTCACGGGACTTGAAAATATTGTATGTTATGTTCGAGTGTACATAATATTGAATGAATAATATATACACTATATTTGTATTAACAGATAATTTTTATAAAAATAGTGTAGTTTAAATTCTATATCTAGCGACTTGATGGTTCAGCTGTGCTACTACAAGGGATGCATTTCAAATAATAATCAGGATTTGACAAATAACACATTGTTTTGTTAGAATTGAGAGAGTTCACGTCTAAATAAGTAGATAGCAATAGGAGATTAGAATTGTTCGCAGAATACCCTTGAAATTAGAAAATATACTAAAGCGATTTCTATCACATTCCACGAACTCGCTGAGTTTAGAAAACAACGAGACCTTGTGCGGTTTAACTATAATCTTTCTATTAATGGCACCAAGATAAATTAATTCATTTAGTACATCCTTGATCTCGCAACATAACATTACAAGGGAAAGTTTGTGTCGAATATTTGACTATTTTATGAAAGTAAAGAAATGTAAGTAGACACACATCGCGCAAATATAAAAGTTGCTTTAAATGTACCTGATAGATTCCAGATTTCTAAACAATAGTTCCAAGCACAACTTTAAGGTACTCGCGGAAACTGACTTGATAAAATTTCCATTAATATCATATCACATTTGGGTGGGTGCAAATGATTCGTCGGGTTCGGAAGAGGCTTTTCCTAATTTTGAAAATCCCAACAATAAATGTGTATTTCCCATAATGTCATCCGCGTTCTTGAGTTCTATGCTTTCATAAATTAATTGTTTTTTGGACCGATAAACTGTTGTCTTTTGTGTTTTGATCAACCAGAATCACGCAAAAATACTGCAAATATATTGATTCGCTTCATATCCAACTTTTACGACTAAACTCAGGCGATTTGATTCTAGCAATCATTCCTTATTTATGTAATATTAATGACATTAGATTATTAAAAAAAATTAAAAAAAAAAGTAAAAAAAAAAATTTTTTTTTGATGACTCGAAGGTACTTCAAATAGTTACCTTTAACGAGATAATAAGTATTCCTAGTTGGCCAACCATCGAAAGTGTACTATAAATTTTTCGAAGTCCATTTTTTGTCTTGGCATCATGTCTAGCAAGTAGTTGCTGAAAGATTACTAGGGCCTCTGGCTTCGTCCTAAGTGACAGGAGGTCGTATTCCGTAACTTTCATGAATCTAACAGGATTTCGTTTTTCATCTGCTCCTGTGGAAGAATTAATTTGATCTTTTGAGACTAGGACATCAGGTTGCATTTTCTCTCCTGAACTCGGTTCGAAAATTTTCTTTATTTTTATTAAATTGTCACATAATAATATGGCTATCCTTGAAAATTTGTAACTGATAAGTAAAAACAATTTGCGACTTTTGTTACGTACATCATGATTTTTAGAAGTTTAGCGTTATAGAAGATAAATAAATTAGTAAAAAAGATGATTTTTATTAGTGCCGAAGTTTTGATAAACCAAATTTCATTAAATAACTTATCCGAGGTTGTTGGTTTTCTAATTTCCATATTATTTGTCTATAAAATTTTATCAAACTTCGGACGATCAAATTATAAGTACAAGTCGTAACCTTCGGACGATCAAATTAAAATTTATTAGTATTTTATTAGTAATCTGGGAATTTTGGTTTTGTGTTACATCGAACTTCGGACAATCAAATTAAAATTTATTAGTAATTTGGAATTTTGATTTTTCGAACTTCAGACAACCAAATATTCAGCAATTTATCCGAAATTATGTGTAACATGAAAAACCAACAACTTCGGATGATCAAATTTTGAGTGTATTGAATAAATTAAATCATTAAGGGCTGAATATTATTTTTATCAGTGGTTTTGAAGTCTGTCAGGCAAGAGATTGAAAGTTTCAATATACTAAATTGTGAATTTTCATTTTCTTTTGATTTTTGTTAATATTTCTTTGAATCTTTTCTTTCTTTTTCTTTATTTTGTTTCTATTTTCTTTTATTTTATAGAAACACACTGTTCACTGTGAGTTTAAATTGGCACATTTCTTATTTTGCTCTTTTAAGGCAGTAACAATATTGTGAAGAGGTTTTTAATATTGGTGGTTGCATTTGGATAAGAAGAAGTTGTTGTAAAGAATATGTGAAGTTGGATTGATTATTATAAGATGTTATTAGAAGAGGCAGGAGAGAAAGATTAAATCTTGATTAGGTGACTCTTTTTCGATAATGAATGTAAATAGGAGTTTGTCAATATAAAAATAAGTCTTAACAATTTTATGGTGCTGGTTAGATATTGGTCTTAAATTATTGAAAGTGTCATGTTGATGTTTATTTTTTTCAAATATTTATTCACTTCAGTTATTGATAATAAGCTTGGAAAAACAGGTAAGATCCATTCACATGGGATTGGACCCTAATAGATATCTTTGATTTTTTTTAATATTAGTGTAAAAATGGATAAGTCTCTATATAGATGTTTATTAGTAATATCAAGTTACCTTTTGAGTTAATTTTTGTTGTTTGGAATGTAAGATCTTTTATTCTAAATTAGGTTTTTTTGAACCATTCTGGTCCAAAAGGCAGCTTGAAAAAGAACTTCTGCTTGAGAGTTTGAATAAGGTCTTTAACCTCTTCCTGCAATTGAATTGGGAGGAAAATGGAGTTATTTTTACTGTATCAGAGGATTAATAGAAGTGAGCATTTGACTTGAATATAATCCAGTGGAAGATGCTTGATAGCAAAGTTATTGGATTTAAGAAGTTCCATCACTGAGCATAAAAATGGGTCCCTAAATTATTTGTGAGGACATAATTCAAATGTCCCTTATTATTAAAAATTTTTATTTCTATATTAAGAAATAAAAAAAAACTACCTACAAAGGTTCTTTATAGTTTTAAGTATCTATACAAATCATTTCTGGAATTATGTCCCTATTGAAATAAAGAGCTAGAAATTATGTCCTCTAGGGGACGTGGACATAAAGGGACATAAATTTTATATGCTAAATACTTTAGGGACCCATCTTTAACTGTGCAATGGCCTCTGAATTGTTTTTCACAGGAAAGTAGTAAGCAAGTTCAAAAGGCAGGTCTATAAAAGATGAGAATAGTGTTGTTTTTGATGGTAAAAGCCTAAAATAGGAATCAAATAGTTTTGTAGAAATATAATAATATTCTCTCAATTAATTGGTAAGCTCTCTGAGGTTTTTGAGATCACTTCGCTTGATAAAGGGGAATAATGCCTTCACTTCAGATCTAAGATCTGTAAAATCTTTAGGAATAGTTGATCTTTGTATGAAAAATGATGTAGAAAGCCAATCAAAATTGTAGTAAACTTTGAGACTATTGACCACATCAGCTGTATATTTGGGAGAAGTAATAGGAATGGTATTTGGAAGTTTAATTTTAATTGAGGCAGGAATAAGATTGGATAGAATGGATAGTTGAGAGAGCTTGTTTTTAATTGTTTCCTCACATTTAAAAAACAGTATTTGGTAATTTAATTTTATAGATGCAGAGTTGATAAAAAAGTTGAAGCCATATTTAAGAAGCTGAGCTATTTGCCAGTATTTAAGAGATATCAAATCTATGAATTATAAAAATATAATAAAGGAAGCTTTGTTAATAATTACTTTAATCTTTTTTTTGATTGCTCTGTTAATATAACTGATATTGTTAGCTTTTAGATAGTTGCTGTAAAAGTTTTTCTCTATTTTTTCATACTTAATTTGATATTGGCTTTTTATAGACTTTTCTTTAGTGAAAGTTCTAAAGAAGTTATAGTCTTTATATTTAATTTTTGTCATTATAGCTTTGATAGTTAGTTTTATTTTGAAAGTTCTTCCTCCCAGATTTAAGGAGCCATTGAATGATTGCATCGATATTTCTTTTACATTGTTAACTTCTTTACAAAGTTCAAGAATTTTGAAATGTTCTTCAAGAGGACTAATTTTTTTAATGTCATCTTCAATTGTTTATGGTGTATTGAATTTGGTGATAATCTTATTATTATTAACTTCATCAGTCCAGGAGCTGGTAGTTATGGCTAGAATTGGATCAGGTTATATTGGGAGAGTGGCTGATATAGACTGTTTATCAATTTTTATTTCTGTGTCACTGTTAGGTGTTGCAGATATAGGTAAACTGATTTGACTAGGACTATACATGGTGTTTGTTTTTGCATGAGGGCTAAATTGATCTGCATTGTGGTTAGGAATAGCTGCATGGGATGTTTCAGTCAAACAATCATTCTGTATTTCATTGTCATTGCTTATTGCCTCATTTGAAGTGGGAGTGTTTGGAGGGGATCTGAGTGTTTTGATTTTTTGTTTTAGAGAGAAAGTGTTATTCGTATTTGAAAAGATAATATCAAGTTTATTCCATAGAATATATAGTTTGTAATTTAACTTTTTTTTCATAATTTCCTTTATTATTTCAGTTCTATCTTCATTGGTTATTTTAAAAATATCTGAAATTCAAAAAAGGCATTGAGAGAGTCTGCTGGTATAGAGTTTAGATATAAAATGTTGACAATGGTTACTGGAGTTGAGATTCTGGTTCTTTGATAAGTTTCAAAGGTGACAACAATTACTTTGAATATCTTTGAACCTTCAGTAATAAAGCATACAGATATAAGTTATGCTTGAGGAGTGTTTTTGAGTTTTGAGAGTTTGAGAAAGGAGTTTAATAAGGAAATTGTGATTTTATTTGTTTTTGTGTTTTTATATATGATAATAGCCTCTGGTTTTTAATATCAGTAATAAGAATATCTAGAAGAATATACTCATAATTAATGAATTAGACCTTGGAGAAGGAGATTCCTCTAGGGTCTTCAAGAGTTTTTTTTTTTTAAAACAAAATTATATATATATTTTTTGGTAATTTTATTCAAATGCGAGTGGGAGTGGGAAAAAGTTTTTTAAAATAAAAATATTTTATTATTTTTTTTTGTTTACCTGTAGTTAACTCAGGACCCATTATTGTTTTCTTAATTTTTCAGTATTTCTTTGAGTTATATGAATGATTTTATAATAATTCTAAATACTCGTCTTAAGCCTAAACCTTTAAGTATAAATATTGGAGGTAAAGATGGATCCCTAAATTATTTAGCATATAAAATTTTGCAAATCAATTATATCTCTTTTAAAGTGACATAATTATTTATTTATTATTTTAATATGAATATAATTCAAAAAACATTTGGATCAAGTGGCCTAAATTGCAAAAAACTTTTATAGGTAGTTTTTTTTTTATCATATATTTAAAAAAAAACTTTTTTAATAGTGAGGAACATTTGAATTATGTTCTTACCTTTAATTTAGGAACCTATCTTTAATTGGAGATATGTAAGTTGCTATATCAAGACAAGCAGACCTATGCTATCTGCCTTGATAGTCATTGTCTGCAGCCACTACTACAGTTTTTCAACTATTCAGTTTAACCAAGACTTACTAGGATTTAGTCAGTAAGATATCATTGAAGAATAAGGATACACCAGTATGTCAAATTCATTTGAAAATCAAATTCAGCCTTATCCTACCTAATTTGACCTAGCAACACATGCAAGTAGTGTTGTAATAGGCCAAATCAAATCGGGTCAGAGTCAGGCTGGTAATATAATGGGTCGGGTTGAGTTACAATAATGTAATGGGTCAAGTCAAATCAGGCCAGGGCAAATTCGGTGATGTAATAGGTCGGGTCAAATAAAGCCCGGGCCAGGGCAAATTGGTGATATAATAGGTCAGGCCCGGGCCAGACTTATGGTTTATTTACAATCGGTAATCTGCATATAAGCGATATTGTATATTTAAGACGCATTTAAAAAATTACAAATAATATGTTACAGTATATATGACAAGTCAGTTGATAGTTTGATATTTTTGTTTGTTACAAATCAGGTTTTAATTCACTAACAGTCTTTTTTTATTCATGATAATACAAAACGATAGTATCTTTCCTATTGCAGTTGTAGAATTCTTTATTAATATAAGTTGTAGAAAACCAAGAATACAAGAGTTTGTTGTAATTCTATTCTAGGAGTTGGGCCTTATTCCTATTCGCTTGCTATTTTTCCTTCTATTCATAACCATTGAGCCATATTATAAATGCAACACACATTTTTTATTCGCAATGCTAGAAATAATATAAAAAATAATTTGCCGAAGTAAATAAAATGCATTATTTAAATATTTTCCATTTAATACCTGAATAAAATTATTTTTTCTTTTACCTAATCAATATTTTTGTCTATCCAATTCTTAAACATAAACTTGCTCGTGTTATTTCTGGATTTAACCGATTTCTTCGTTTTGTAATAGTGTTTCCAGCAACCGAAAAAGCTTGCTTACATGGAACACTTGTAGCTTGAATTATTAAATAATCACGAGCCATTTTGCTTAATATTGGAAATTCTGAAGTATGTGCATGCCACCATATAAGCGGATCCATTTCAAAAGAAACAGAACTTGCGAGATATCGATCTAATTTATTATTTGTTCTTTGATTATTAATTTGCTGTGTTTGATTATTGCTTTTAACTAAAATGGCAAAAAAATCTTGTAAATTTTCCGAATTAGTATTTGTAATACTTGTGTTATCAGATAAATTTGGTGAGTTGTCATTAAAATATAAATCCATCATTGCTCTAATTGTATTAATAGCTGAAATAGTTTTTTCTCCTTCCGGAAAATCCACAAGTTTGTATCTAGGATTCAATATCGTTGGTACTATTAATGAATCACTTATAATATTCCAATAACTATTGATTTTTTGTAACATAGAAAAAGCCATTCGAGATTCACTAAAAAACTTATCTTCACTATATTGATTTAAAAAATTCTTTATACCCAAAAATACTCGATATATAAGACCTAAAGTTGGATATCATGCTGCAGATAATAATTTTGTTGCTTTTTCCATTGGATTAAGCAAAAATAATGTATTATCTATTTTTTCGAGATCAAAATTATTTGGAAATTCATTAGCCAAATCTGAATAATTTGCAATTAGCATACGAAGAGCCATTTCACTATTTTTAAACTTTTCTAGCATATAAAAAGTACTGTTCCATCTTGTTTCGATGTCTGTTTCAGGTGCCAGATATTTAATTCCATGTATTTCAAATAGTGCTTTAAGTTCATTGCAAAAAATTGTTGAATTTTTGATTTTTGACATAAAATTTCGAACTTTATTTACTGAAGTACTAATTGATTCAAGTCCTTGTTAAACTACGAGATTAATAATATGTGCTGTACAACGGTAATGACCAAAATTTGAATTATTTAATTGATTCAATTTTTTAGCCATTTCACGACCACATGTAACCATTGCTGATGCGTTATCAGTTGTTAATCCAGTAATCTTGTTAGATAGTTGAAATTCATCTAGTAATGATAAAAGTGTATTTGCTATATTAATTCCTGTATATCGTATTGTAAAGTAAATTATATCTAATAAAAAACTTTGAGGCTTCCATTGATTATCAAGATAATGAATTGTTATGCCCATAAAAGTTTCTTTTTTTATTGATGTCCACATATCTGTTGTTAGAGCAATTTTTGTTGAAAGTTTGCTTAAATTTTTTATACGTTTTCTTCTTTGTTCATTAAATTGATTCATAATTAAAATTCTAACTTTGGCTCGATTAGGTATCAAATATCATGAATCTAATTTATGAATCATAGCACGAAAATACTTATTATCCACAATATGAAAAGCTTGTTGAGTGCAAACAATCCAATTCATTAATAAATTATCTCGCTCATTTTGATCATTTTCATTATATGGATCTGAATTTAAGTCTTGAAGTTTTTTTGATTGTAAATTAATTGCTTTTGATAAGTGTCGCCTTTGTAAATGTCGTTGTAATGTTGAAGTTGAAAATTTTTTGCTAAAAGACATTTTACATATGCAGCAAGAAGGAATTCCAGTGGTTTGATTTTTATCAAAAAATTGCCATATAGGTGATGAAGTTTTTGTCATATAACTTGTTGAAATTTCTTCTGTTGATGAATTTTCTGTTATATTGCTTGTAGAAGTTTTACTTGTTGAATCTTGACTCGTATAACTTATTGAAGTTTCGTTTGCTAAGTTTTGACTTTCAAGTACCATATCAATAGAATTTTCATCAAATATTTCTTCATTGTCTTGCTCATCAGAAAAGCTATCAATAGTATCCTCATCACTTTCGATATTAGAAAATTCCATTTTTTTCGTGAAAAATTTAAATTTATTTGTACAAACCTAATTATATCGTTTTTTAATTTTATATCGTCATTATGAGATCAAAGCTATTTGATTTTGTAATGATCTAATGATTTAATTACAAGTAGATCAGTAATAAATCAAATAGACCCACGGTTCTTATGGTCCTAATCGGGTATTACGGGTCAGGTCAAGACCCGCAGTTCTTACAGTCCTGACCTGACCTATTACAACACTATTACAAGCCTTCCCAATAACTCTGTCAGCAATGGTACAGCTATAATCTTAATCAAAACTATAACCAATCATATCTTCAAAACTTTTACTCCTAATGAATTTTGGTGTACCATGCATCTAAAATTCAAACCCAAAGTAGATATTATAATTGTCTCTTGTTATCTCCCACATGATCCAGACTTCAGAAAGATAGCTGTTAGAACTCTAAAAAATTTTATCAAAGAACATCATAACAAACATCTAATTCTAGCAGGTGATTTCAACACATATCCTACATATATACCTCATATCAATACCCAAACTTCAGCATACAAGAGACACATATATTGCTATTTTTACAAATTTATCAATATAGCCAAAGTAATAAATAAGGAACAGTACTATATTCACATTACGAACAACAGTGTCTTCAGAATTGATTAGATCTGGATCACTAGCAACCTAGCTAGTAGAATACTTTTATACAAAGTTTACAAACAAACAAATATAATATCAGATCACTAACAAGTAGACATTATTCTGAACTGGTTCAAATACAAACCAGACAGAATCTGTTTTAACACCATAATATATCAGTTTAAAGAGGCTACTTCAAAGAACATTAGTAACTTTTTAATATTGATCATATAAAGATAATTTTTCTATTATATTATTGATAAATAATTCAAACATTAAAGCCTTCCAAGAAGATATTGAACTCGTGTGCCTAGCTAACAGTAATCCTACCTGGAACTCTATAAACAATATTATCAAAAATGTCCTCGATAATAACATTTCAAAAAGAAAATGCACACCACCTACCCATAATATAGACCTCCTTAAACATTTCACCAAAGCTATAAAGCTATAAAAAAAACAATCAACAAAAAAAAGAACAATTAAAAGATTGAACCTCTTTCAAAACTTCCACCACTTGTCACAGTAGCACTGCAGAAGATCATTGACAATCCTCCTTGCATCAAGAACCTGAGAAAAGTTTTGAAAATTTTGATTAGGAAAAAACAATTCAAGTTAAATGAGTTTATCATGCAAGAAATATAAAAATATTGAAGCAAACTTTTATAGATTCTGGAACAGACCAAAAAATGCCTTAAAAAAAGCCTTGGAAGATTTAAAGCCTTTTCTCGACCTCTCTATTCTCTTAGGTGATGATTATCAGCTTCATTATTACCCTGACGAACTCACAACAATTATCTTTAACCATTTCAAAAAAATCTTAATCCCAAACTATTCTTTCTTAACAATGAATAGAACCCAGAGTATAAGCCTCTAAATCATATTCCTGACAATGCATTTGATGATATTGTCATATCAATTTCAATTCAAGAATTGGAAAAAGCACTCAATAATCTACCAAAATGCAAAGCTCCTGGACTTACCTCAATCCCTTATAAAGCTTGGACCCAATTTGGCCTGACAGCAAAGAAATATATTTTAGCTCTATTTAATAATACTTTGTTATTAAGTAAAGTTTTCAAATTCTGAAAACAATTAGCTATTACTCTTTTATTCAAAAAAATTGTATGGTCATATGATCTCAATAATATATAACCAATCTTTCTTAGTAAAACAAGCAGAAAGATTTTCACAAAAATAATTAATAATAGACTTTCCACAAATATGTTAAAGTACAAGGCCATATCAGATTCAAACTTTGCTGGTCTTAAAAATCAGAGTACCTCTGAATCAATCACAATTGTCATCTCAAGTATTAATATAGCAAACAATTTCAACAAAGAAATCTGGGTAACATCTTTTAACATCTCTAAAGCCTTTGACTCTATCAACCTTTCCAGCCTTAATAAAGCTATGGAATGTATTAAACTCCTAATCAAAATCATCTCACTAATTCTTAATCTCTTGAATAAAAGAGAACTAAAGTTAATAACATATTACAAACTATTTGAACCTCTCAAAGTCAGCAAGGGACTTGATCAAGACAAAACCTTATCCCTTCTATTATAGACCATCTTTTATGATCCAATGGTCACTAAATTAATAACCAAGTTTTTTACAACTTCTAAAGTTCTAACATATATGGATGATGTTGCTCTTTTCAACTCAAATATGCAATCCTTACAGGAGGCAACAAATACCTTCTGTTCTTTTCTACTTCTAAATTCTATTAAATGTAATCAAAAGAAAACTGAGTTAATCACCAATCTCAAAACATCTAATCAAAAGAGAAAACAATTCCTCACTATTGAAGGAGAAAAGATTTTCCCAAAACCACTCAAAGAGGATATCAGATATTTGGGAGTCTACCTGTCTGATAAATCTTTATCTACTTCTATCAAAAACAAATTGATAGAGAAAGTTCAAAAGTTTATCAATACAATTGTTTCACAAAAGGAATAGAATGGCTTAATCACCAAACAAGCCTCTTACTGGATCATACTAGCACAATTAGATTATACAATCAATGCTACAATTTCATCTGATAGAAAAACAACTATTCTTCAAAGGAAAATAAATAGGCCCATAAAAGCCAAACTAGGTGTCAAGCAAACTATCTCCAATAAAATTTTATACTTACAAGCTGGACTCAGTACAGTTAAACTTTAAAATTGACATAACCTTACTGCCATCAAAATCTTAATTATAAAATTTATCAACCTAAAATTCTTTCTTATATAGTAAAAGAAATTATATCAATACAAGCAGCACAGGCAATCTGGTGTTGCCCAATCTGCTTCCCATATTATTTTAAAGATTCATGAATTATATTAGCAGTCCTATTGGCAAAAAGATATGGTATTAGAATCTGTTCATTCCCCTGCCCCTATAACTATGAGAATTATGAACATTCAATTGGATTAACAATCAAGCTCCAAAAATCAACTGCCCTTTCTCTTTTCTATACCAACATCAAAACTGTTCATAATACTTATATCTATAAACAAAACACTAAACTAACATAAGAAGAATTCCATACACACAGAGGTTATATTACACCTGAACCAATACCTGCCTGGTTTTCTCTTATTTCTGCTATATTACTTTCTATCTATAGTGACTCAACATTTCTCTTCAAAACATCTAAAACTAATTTCTGGATCTTTTTGAAAAATAACTCCATCAATCTTATTAAAGTCTGCATTAACGTTATTTATTCCCAAATTATCAAAGGAAAACACTATCATCTTATTAACAAAAAAATAATTCCCTGTTTATGCTCAATTCAACCATGTATCAAGGAAAAAAATATATAAATCACCTCAAATTAGTTTGGCATACAACACATTTGAATTCAAAATATTTACTTAATAACATCCAGAAACTTCAGAAACTTTAGGATTCCTTCTCAGTTAGACCACAAATAATCACACATATAATAATTTTATCACCCTCTTCAATTATCCAATCAACCATCACTCACCTATATCACAATAAAAAAGATAATAATTTTATAGTTTCAAAATCAATCAACACCTTTATATATATATTATATCTGAACTTCTGATACATCTTTTGGCCAGTATTCCATTAAACTCTTATTGACACTTCAAATTCATCAACCATAAAAATCTATCTTAACAAAATTCCTGATCTGAAAACTCCAGATTATATCAATAGGCTGGTTAAAATTCCCTTTAGCAGGTTCATTAGCGAATGCAACATTTTTATAATATCAAAAAGTCTTACTGTTCTATGGTTTAAACTAAAAGATTACTAGCCACCACCCAATACTCTTCCTAGGATTAATACACCATTTCCCCAGTGTTTCTCTTCAACAATCACATCCTCACCACTGATTAATAATACTTATGCAACAAGTGTCATACATTGGATTAAATTTATAAACTTTTATACCAATTTATTTGATATACTTCTTAGTGAATCAGCCATCTATAAACCTTCTTCTTTCGAGGAACTGGAAATTATTATCAAAGCAAACAACAAGTTAAAAAAATTGAATTAATTAAAACACAAAGTTCTGTCTACATTTAGGACCAAACTTATTGCTAATTAGCTTCCTACTAGAATTAAACTTCACAAACTATATCCTACCTATTATCCTAACAATTTATGTCCACGATGTGACACATATCCTGAAGATTTGTTGCACATTTTCTTATGTGTATACATTAGGCCATTAATTAACAAAAAGAAATCTAAACTGGAAGACCTTATTTTAAATCTCAACCTCAAAGGCATCAAAGCCACCAATTTTATTAGCACTCTTAAATTAACACCAAACACTTTATTAGATTTAGCCATCTGTAAATTCAATTCTTCCTTCAGCTTACTGGAAAAAAAAGAAAATATTTCTAATTATATTCTTAAAATTCTCTACAAGACTTGGAAAATGTGATTTGCCACAGCAACAATCTCATCGTTATCTGATATAAAATGGAAAAAAACACCTAGCTTTAAAGCATCAAACCAGAATACAAATGATAATACTACATTTAACAAAATCTTAAATCTATTAAACACCTCATTAAACTTCACTGATAAATTAATTTTTATCCCAACAGTAATATCATCGTTCTGAACTGGCATTAGTCATTCAGCACTATTGGTGTGAACCCACTCCCAAGATGATATCTGACATTAATAGATTTGTTGCAATAGGTTATAATTAATTTACTTTTGTAAAGATTGTTAATGTAATGACAATAAATTTTTATTTAAATAAAGTCTTACATTTAATGCTTGTTCATGATAAAAAATATATATATATAATATAAAAATTGTATAAAATAAATTTATTAATATTATAATAAAAAATAAAATTTTTAATATTAATAAAATTAGATATA